GCAGAGCCAGCGGCAGCAGAAACGGCAGAGGCAGAAACAGCAGTAACAGCAGCAGCAGCAGCCATAAGTGGCTATTGGGACTTTATTTGACGTCTTTTTACAATCAGAATATTTTAAGCTGTAAACCCTAATATATGGTGAGTACATTCTTGTGTTCTGTTCTTTACAGGGTCTGATTAAAATCAGAGGAGACAAATGCTGGAGAGAACTCACCTGTATGGACTACCACTATGAGGTGGGTGTGTGTGTGTGTGTGTGTGTGTGTGTGGATAGAATGCTCTGTAACATGCCTCTGTGCCTGCACAGACACAGCTGTTTTCTGTAGACCCAGCAGGTGGGTTGTATGTAGCATGTTGTGTTGATGTTTGAGCAGATCTATTTAAAGTATCCATCACTGCGTCTCTGCCTGCTCAGTAGTAATGCCTCTGTGCCTGTGCATTAGGAACAAACTGTTTTCTCACTCCAGCGTCCTCAGACCTGAGACACCATGTCCTCCACAGTGCTGCAGCTAACCTGTGACGTCCTGTAGAAAATATTCGGTGCACAAACATGCAGTCGGTGGAAGCTCGGAGACAGGTGACGGAGGTGTGGGTGGAGTGGAGTGGTCATTCTTATGTAATGTTTCCACAGCATGTGAACAGTAGCTGTTTGAGCAAATTAAAGTGAAATAATGTGTGAAATGTGTTGAAACAAACGGTGGCAGGAGTTTCTGTGCCGTCAGTTATTAACAGGAGTGTGTTTGAACAACTCTACGTCATAGACTTGATGTCAATGCCTGTTGACTTATGGGTGACGGTGACACACACACACACACACACACACACAGACAGACTGGAAGCCACTGGCGCCAGGTGAAACCTTATTGCCTCGGTCCAGCACACTGCTGCCTTTCAGAAAAACTGCAAATCTCTGACTCTGGGGGGCGGTGTTGCTGTTTTTTTTTTCACCACAGTGTTTTGTTTGCTCTGGTTTGTTTGTTTGCTGTAATTACTCCTCATTTGCCCTGCCAGGTGGGGTTGTTTGGTTGTCTGAGGTCTGTTGGATTTGCTGCGGTGTGTCGGTGGTTTTCACTATAGGTTGAAGCCCTCTGCCCCAGAGCCACACCTCCACCTGCCCCTCTCATTTTCCACCCCATTAAAACAATGAGCGTATACAGCAGCCTGCCAACAATCCACACCTATTCCTGGGCTCTATTTATTTTACGGCACCTCACCCAACACTGTTTGCAACGTTCTGCCATGACACAGTTTGTGTGCGACCACCAAACACACACACACACACACACACACACACACAGAAACCCACTAAATCATACTTGCACACAAACACAGCACAGACACCTCTGGGTGTTTTTCTGTGTAAATGTGTGTGAAGGTGGAGTTTCCTCATTTACATGAAGCTCCGTCTTTATTTAGACCTGTGTAGCTGCAGCATCAGAAATGAAGAGGTTTGTGCCAAAGAAAAGTGAAGAAAATAACCTGTCTGGGTTTTTGGAAATTGTTGATGGAACAACAGCAGACACTGGACGTAGAAAAACATGTGTTGGTATTTACCAAGGTGATCTCATTTCTAAAACACCATCGGTGTCGAAAGAAAGAGAATACATTTACATTTATGTGTATATATGCTGTATGTGAATATCGATGCGTGTATATGTATAAGAAACTACCCATTATACCTACTTACTCTGTCCAGACTCAGCCGGTTCCCAACCCCATGTCCTACTACATGCACCACTCACCGTGGTGGATCCACCGCTTTGAGACTCTCTCCAATCACTTCATCGAGCTCATCGCCCCGTTCTTCACTTTCCTGGGCAGACGGATGTGCGTGGTCAGCGGAGCGATCCAGATTCTGTTCCAGGTAAAGAACACCAGGTTATTATTATTATTATTAATGACGTCACTCTGGTCATATAGTGTGCAGAATGATGCCACACACTCATTCAGCCGTTCCCAGGCTTAAGTTAAATGTAAATATGTTTTTTTCTGCTGCTACAGGTTGTTCTCATCATTAGTGGGAACCTTAGTTTTCTTAACTGGCTCACCATTGTTCCCAGTCTGGCCTGTTTTGACGACGCATCCTTGAGCTTCTTGTTTGGCTCTGGAGGTGGAGCCAAGAAAGCAGTGCTGGAGATCCAGAGAGAGGAGGCTGCTGGACGCAGCCAGAAGCCCACCAGAGGTATGTCGATTCAGGAGAGGTGAGCTAAATTACACTAGGTGGAGGATGGTGTAATGCTAAGAGGAGTGAGGAGTGAATTGTGGGTAAGGGAAGGACTCAGCACCTGGAGTAACTGTGGAAATAATGACATATGTTTTACTGGTATTTGGAGTGACGTTTTAATGCGTTTTATTTATTGCAGAACAGGCAGCCTAATATGTCATTAAATAACCTGGGGCCTCACTGTAATCGGTCTCACTGGAGTCATTAGAGTTTTTAATTTTATCTTGGAAAATGTTAAATAGAAAATATGATTTTACCTGCAGTGTGACTGTGTTTTAATTATTTTAACAGACTGTGAAAGTCTTTCCTGATGTACAAATGTCTTATTTCTGAGGGGCTGGCTTTAGTTGATGTCTTTACCATCAGACTGAGACCCAGCCAGAGTTTGTCAATAACAACTGATGAGCTAATGGAGGAAAGCGTTTCCACTGAGCTAGTGTCAGAGTAAGGGTTGGTACAGGTGTTTGAAATCCTTGGGCTGAATCTCACTTCATTTAAAAGTAGTGAAAAATGCTCATAGCTATAGGTTAGCTTCTAGCTACAGTTCTTCGCTTCTAAGAAAATATGTGACAAAAAAGTTAGCCAAAAAATAAGAAATACAGAAAAGCTAACAAAGCTGACAAAATATCAAAACACTGCTAAAAGTTAACTACGTTATGAAAAACAAATCCAAACGGTAGTCAAATCTATAGCTACACAGGTAACAAATACAAAATATACAAGAAGCTATGAAACAAACTTAACGAAAATAATGAAGCTAACAAGTCGGTTCATGTTAGCGAACAGTAACTAAAGCAGCGAACAGTTAGCCACAAAGATGGCTGAATGGACATTGATGTGCAGTGAAGACAGCTGTTGTCCCTGTGTCAGGTATGATGATACGTCGGGTGGTGAACGTCTCTCTGGGCGTTCTGATTGGCTTCCTGAGCGTCCCTGTGGTGATGAACCTGGTGAGCTCCAAGCAAGTGATGAACACCTCCTTTGACCCTCTGAGAATCGTCAACACCTACGGGGCCTTTGGCAGGTCAGTCTGTCATCAGTGGGGTCAGAGGTCACGGGTAAGCTTAGAGATGGCTTCACTTTTTTACCTAACCATCGTTCCTTTGTCCAGCATCACTAAGGAACGGACGGAGGTGATCTTCCAGGGAACTCTGAGTCCTGATCCCAAGGATCCCAATGCCATTTGGGAAGAGTACCAGTTTCTGTGTAAACCTGGAGACATTTACCGGCGACCATGTCTCATATCACCTTATCATTACAGACTGGACTGGCTCATGTGGTTTGCTGCCTTCCAGGTACACCTTCACCTTCAGTATTTTTTATAGTGGTGGAGTAATTGAGATCGTGGTCTCATAATAGAAGATAATGACAAAAATAATTATTTTTGCATTACAATATTTAGATAATGATATTGTAGTGCTATTTTCTCTTTATGGATATTCTCGTTTCTGCTCATGTATTTACCAACCATGTCCACTAGAGGACAGTAGATCACTGCATGAATTAATTGATTGTCGGTTTAACCTGACTTTTAGCCTTCATCTACTACTTTTCTTGAAGATTAAAGGGTTAATGTGAAAAAAAATCACTATCAATAATTATTTGTCAATGATTCCGTCTTTAAAACATTTTAAAACATGTTTTTACCTTTCTTCAGTGTATAGTGTTGTGATGCATGTGTAAAGCAGCATCATCACATAGTCTAAAATCATAACTCTGTTTTCATCATGCAGACTTATGAGCAGAGTGAATGGGTGATCCACATCGCAGGACGCCTGCTGGCCAACGACAGCGCCATCCTGTCTCTCATGGACCACAATCCTTTTCACAACAGACAAACACCCAGGTAGAAACTTTTTTTTAAATTTCTGCCCTAATATAGTAGTAAGAATATCTTTCACAGAAATAAAACACGCTTCAATAAGTAGTGTTTGTTTCCCAGACTTGTTCCCAGTCACGTCATTATTTCTGAACTATAATGTGCCTCATGGACTAATGAGGTTTTATCAACATGGATCATGTCACCATCAGATCTCAGCCTGAACTACTTGCTGCTCGAAATGATTCATTACGTATCATAATCATATGTTTTATACTGTTACCTAACAGTGCCCTCACATGGATTAAATACAAAATCTTTTCTAAACTTTTCAGATTTTTTATAAAAGGAAAAAAAACGTAATGTGTGTACTGTAAATATAAGTAAACTGCCTATTTATGTTAAACCACAATGCAGAATATGTGTCTGCTACCAAGGCATGTGGCCACATCAACAACTTAACATTTTTAAGAAGTTGACCGTTATACTGTGTGTTAGTCCGATCAAATGACTTCTGATGGGTGAGTGGTGTAGTATATGAAAAACCCTGGACTAGTAGAGATAAGTTGACATCGTTCTCCTCTGTCCCCTTTTCTGTCAGGTGGGTACGTGGAGAACATTTTAGATACAAGTTTACAGAACCAGGCAGCAGCAGTGCCGCCCAGGGGAAGTGGTGGCTGAGAAAACGCATCGGACCTTATTTCCCAGCAGTGGACCTGGAAGCTCTGAGAGGATACTTCCAGTCCAGGAACTGGCCACACCCACATATACCAACAAACAGGAAGTAGAACCACACAATAAAGACAGGAAGTGCACAAGAAAAGGGAATCATGAAGAATCATAATGATATGGTCAGTCAGGATGTGTGTTACTGAACAAAAACAAATCTGATTGTAAACAAACAAACAAAAAGTTAATTAAACACTTTCTACTAAAATCAAGAACCCTGCACATCCCGTTGTTTCTTAATTTTTAGTGGGTTAAAGCCAACGAAACTCTGCTAGAGATGTAAAATTCAGCTACATTTGATATTAGCGTCAGAAGAGTCGCAACAATACAACGCTACCACTAGATGGCGCTGTACTGCGTGTTATTGATTGTAGCTGGACTTCTGGAATCTCAGCGTCAACTGAATCCATCGATCACCGTATACTTGTTCAGCCCGTGACGTCATTTGTTTACTCCTGTTTGGTGATTTGTCTGCGTCGATTTACCTTCTCTTTTAATTTCATCTTGATCAGGAGTCACTCCTTATTTACCACGCCATGAATCAAAGCCCTGCCCGTCTCGTGGACGTGTATGAGTTTGAGTAATGGAGTCTTAGTTGGACTGAGGAAACATCTGCTTGAGCCGTTGGTTGCAGCGCTGCCAGAAACTCTTCAATCACAGAGTACGTGTAGAGCATGTTAAATACTAATTAATCCCACGGTTCCATAAACACCTCACAAGTGCAGGAAAGCCAGTTAGAGACATGAAGTCCCAGTGTCCCACTGGGATTTTGATCGATTGATGCTTTTGGCAGCATACAATCTCCATCTGTTTTCATTGATAGGAAGACAACAGGGATTAGTCTGTGTTTGTTTAGCTCAACAGAGGCTGAGGGTTTGAAGACGGAACAGACGCTCAGTGTTTGGCTGCGGCTCAGTCACTTCCATCTTGTTTACTTTGATAAATTAATTAATCAGCATGACTGGAATTAAATTAAAACACTGCAACAAATTCATCCATCCATCCATCCATCCATCCATCCATCCATCCACCTGATGGGCAACACTGCAACAAATTCATCCATCCATCCACCTGATGGGCAGCTGGATAACTACTCAAATTTGCAGAGGGAACATACATTATTGCCAAAATCCAGCTTAGCAGAGTTGTTAGAGGTTAGTCAAAACATAGGGACTAATTCAGCAGGCGATTCCACTAAGTTAGATGAGAAAATGCTAAAAGGTGTGAAAAGAAAAAAAGTATTGCCAAAAAGAGCAAAACAAAGTAAGCAAATAATCTTGCCTAAACATACCAAAATCAGATAACTAATTCAAGAAATATAATTAAATTAATGACAAAACTGGGCTGAAGGTTTAATTAGATAAAAAAAAAACAACAACTTTATTTTAATTAAATTGTAGGGCTATTTGTTTTTAAGATGTTGCTCTGGTGAAGACAGAAAACATGTATGCTCTGAACCAGCATCTCTGTGCTGGAGTTTCTACAGTTTGACGCTCAGTCATCGTTCAACCTTACTTCTTTGTTAGAGTGAGTCTGTGATTTTACCCTGGTTTGTCTCTGACTGCTGTAGTGACCGTAGAGACCGAGGTCTGTCCAGTCAGCGGTGCTGTGGTCAACGCCTCTATCATTTCAGGGGAGTCTGTGCTCCTCCTGGTCTCTGCAGCTCGGTTCTTTTTGACGTTGAACCACTTTCACAGTGTGGCTGTCTTTTAATGGTGTCCTCAACAACCTGCTGCGTCAAACTGTCTCTGTCCACAGAACACTACAGTAGGATGAAGCTGGTTGATGACGTGTCATCTTACACAGAGTACTGGACCTACAACACCAAGAGATGTGAAGGTGAAGGACTGGTTTTGTTGATTTTCCTCTATGGTTACGATGACTGGAAATTAATTATTATTATTATTTAAGATCATCAAACCAGGGGTGTTAAACTCCTGGCATGGGGCCTCTTCAGAACCAGGAACCTCCACATGTGGTCAAGTAAATAATTTAAATTAAATTACAAACAAGTGTTTGTTTGTTTTTGCAATTGGTTTCATTTCAATTATTAAAAGTTGCTTGTTTGAGTATAAAAAAGATTTGTACTAGCTGTACTGTAATATTCTACAGTGTAATACAGTTTTTATATTGAACATCAGACATTATTGTGGCTGTATCTTAATGATTAATGAACTTAATGATAAATATTAATGAATTAATTGTTTTAAAAATTGTATTACGTTTTTTTGTTGTTGTTAAACTATTGTTATACTTTCACCCAGTCCTGCTAACATCGAGGGAATAGAGCTCTGCACTCAGTGAAACATTTTCTAAATATTTTTTAAACTCCTTTTAATGACTAATCTTTCTCAGCTACAAACAAAAGTTAATTTGCTAATTAACAGTACTTACAACAAATTGAGTTGGACCCCTGGTGGTTAACCAGGTGAGTGCAAGTTGTAGACCTAGTAGTATTGGCTTCAGTTTTATTCAGGAATACTGTTGAAAACTGAGTGACTCATGTAACCTTAGAATATTTTTTCAAATCAAACAGTGCAGATAAAAGAGCTCATATTGCGTTCTTATATAAACCTGAAAAATGTCTGTGCATCACAGGAAGTTTGCGGAGAAAACATAGGGAGTTAATACAAAAAGACTGTATTCAGTGCAGCAGACAGCTCATCTGTGGTGCCTGCTTACGTCAGAAGCTTTTCAGAGGATGTCTCATCGCTGTGGTCTCAGTGAAGTGACCCCACGGAGCTGTGTTGAAGGTAAAGAGTGAGTCATGATGTGGTGCGTTCAGGCAAAATGGTTGTTAGCAGACTTTCTACAGCTAATGGACCAAAGTTTAGTTCTTTTTTATCTGCTAAATGCTGGTTCCCTGCACATACCAACAGTCACACCAAGTATTGATTACAGCTCAGGGAAATTGCTTATTGATTAGTGTAGCTTGTAGTGAGCAAGTCGGGTTTTCAGAACGACGAGGTCCTGCAGTGACAGTAGAACATACCGTACTCTTTTTTTGCATTGCATCTGAGTACATTTTAAATTTATCAGTAAATTGTTGATTTTGAATATGTTTTACCACATTAGTGGTTTGTGGTGACTGATGATGACAACTAGCATGATTGAAATTTTGTATTTTTAGCATCTGGATCAGTAATAGTTGATAACACACGTTACTGGTCGTATAAATATATTGATTACATCTTAGCCGTTAATACCATGTACGCACATATCCAACAGTTTTCCTTCCTCAGTCATTAATCCTTTTCTTTCTTTAATTAAGTGAAATGTATTCTTTAAAATGTTTTTTTTTATGGCATCGCCTTTGAGAAGCAACTTCCTACTTTTATATGTGTGAGAAACTCAGGGCAGGACTGAGTATTTGCTCTCTCCTCAGAGGGACTGTCCTTCTGCTGCATTCACTGACACAACATCCTTGAAACTCAGCCTTCTCTCCTCAACACCCGGAGCTAAGTGGATGTTCTTGAATGAAGCCTTGACTTTACTGTTTTGTCACTGACATTTACAGCTTCTTAGGTTAATTAGACACAGACTCCACCGACCTCTGCCATTACACCTCGACCACACCACTGTATCCTGCAGCTGCCATTTCTCCAGTGGCCCAGTACATGGGCTTCATGGTCTGTTTCACTCTAAATCTGTTATCATTTACATAAATGGAGGAAGATAACATCTGTCATTCTGTCACGATAACCTGAGCTGATGTACATTAACCTGGAGAGTGTTGGTAAGCAGTTCTACTCAGATGGGCCAGGTTTATGTGACCCACACAGAGGATTCAGAAAAAAAAACTGGTCTTTTTTAAATGTATTCCTCTTTTTCTTCATATACTCTGGTTTTTCTAAAGTGAAAAGGTGTGAAGTCATTGCTACAAACCCCGTTCTTATTTTTTAGCTTTTGTAAGTAACTCTAAGGGCAATATGGAAATCAATGATTCGCCATGGCAACCCCTGAAAAAAGGCACAACGCTGAAAGAAAAAGAAGAAGAGGACGTAACTGTGCTGACATGGTCCGATCAGTAATGTTGTAGAGTAATGCAGCTGACACTGGAGCATCACACTGTCACTACATTAATGCTTGAAGCTCATCAGGCCTGTGTGTAAGTTTAGACCGAATAAAAGTAAAACCAAAGAAGGAGAGTTTGAAGTGAAGTACTGCAGGAGTGAAGTAACACAGTATAGAAGGACTAAATGGAACCTGTGTGTAATCTCAGCAGCAGTGTGTGACTGTGGAGGGTGGGATTTTTCACTTGATCCAGTTTCTCTGCAGCCACAGCATCTACTGAAAATCTTTCTGTCCAGGGAGTGAAATTTCTGCTGTGGCTTTTTTTTCTTCCTATTTTTCCTTTCTTCTGCCAGCAGATGTTTGTCCCCCTGACCTGGAGTGAGGCTCTGCTGATAAAGTTTGTTTTCCCTCATGCAGCTGGTGGAACCAGCTCAGAAAAATGTAGTTTTTGGACCTGAATTTGGTTTGTATGAATCTCAACACAAAAGTTGTGTGATGTGGTGTCTGAAAAAAAAAAAAATCATTTCTGTTATATACTTCATATATTTTTGCATTTGTGATTAATAAAAAAAACTGCTAATAGTTTTAGAAAAATTAGTTTTTTTAAACTTTGCCCTTAACACACTAGCTAACATGTGTTAATGCCTTAAATAGTTGTAGGCAATTTTGACTAACGATAACTGTAATTAATATTAATTCTGTTATTGTATTTACATACAATTATTATTTGTATTATATTTGTATATTATATTTGTATTATCTATATTCAATCCATATACATTGTTTATTTATTATCATTATATTTCATTCGCCTTATTAAACATGTTAACAGATAATACTAAAACGACAATAGTCGGTAATAATCGACACAAAAATAATCGATAGACGCAGCTTTCTTGTTAACCATACATATTTATGGTTATATATATATATATGCTATTTTTTTCTCACACACGCTCAGTAACCGCTGCTCCTCTGTGCGCTCTCAGCGCCGAGAGGAGGGACGAAAGAGGGAGAGAGGGAGGAGGTGAGGACAGTAATAAGGTGTTTACATTCTGAAACACAGCTCACAGTTTCCCAGCACCAGGACCAGGACCAGGACCAGGACCAGGACCAGGACCAGGATAGCTGAGGAGCTTTCACTCACTTTCACAGAGGAACCTTTTACACTGACAAGCTTTTACGCACAGTCATGGTTCTTACGCACAGGTGAACTCCCGCCTCCAACTCATCAACCACAGAATTAAAAAAAAAAGACTTGACAGACGTCCGGGTCCAACATCTCCTCCTCCTCCTCCGTCCCTTGCCTTGGAGGTGAACAGGTTGTGACCATGTCCAGAAAGAAGGCAGTGAAAGGCAAAGGCAGCTGCTCCAAAAGCCCCAAGGCTTCACCGAGCAGCAGCGGCAGGAGCGGGAAGAGTCTGACCGCAGCTGCGTCTCCGTCCTCCGGGCTGGTTTATCCCAGCAGACCGTCCATTAGCAACAGCGGAGAGTTCTACGATATCGCCTTTAAGGTGAGGTCAACGCTCGTGTTTCTGTTTTTTTACTACAGTATTGAAGACAAAATACTTCCGAGAGGCGGTGTCTAATTATAATTTAAACTAAATCGTAATTACCACACGTTCGCTGGACAAACCAGCGATTAGCATCAAAACAACACACCTGTCTCTGGTTAAAGTTCATTTGTATTTTCCTATAGACAATGTTTAATGATTAAGGTTAACGCTGAAGGTTCAAACTATTTTTTTAATCAACCTGTGGGATTCAAAGACATCACGTGATCCAACTACTAATTAATGCTAACGTCTAATTAATCAGTCACGTGACATGAAGTCGCGTCAGTGTGTTAAAGTGAAGCTGTCGGAGAACAGACTGAGCACCAGAAGAAACACTGAAGGTGAGTGACTCAAAAACTGCACATGTGTTGGGATTTTCTCCAGCAACCTTCTCTGGGTCTAACAGAAAATAGTCCAAAAACAGAGAGATAGATCCAAGGAGCAGCAGTTTGTCATCGGGCTGTAGATGCCAGAGGACAGAGAGGCAACAGTGATGGAAGTGAACAGCACAGAGTCACAGCTGTCAGAATGTCAGATTAAGATTAGGTGAAGAAGTTGATCAAACATGGGGCCAGATAATCTCCAGGGTGATGGTTTAATTCCTGTTTTTTTTCCGTGTGAAGTTTGCATGTTCTGCCCAGCAGACTGCTGGGGTTGGCTCCTCCTCTGTGATAGGGGTTGAATGGAAATGTGTTTGACAATATAGTTTTCATTTAATATGAAGACTTGAAAAAAATTAAGCTCTTTAAATGTCTTTACAAGTAACACTGTTGACCACGTTTGGTGATAATATTAGTTAAGGTTGGGGACCGCTGACCTAAAGTACCAAAGCAACTCCTCAATCACCTCAAACTTGTTTTACCTCCATCTTTTAGTTGCTAAAAACATTTTTTTTATTTCAACCTGGAAGTGGCCCCTGAGCTGGACGTTTGAGGCCCCTGCCCTAAAAAAACATCAAAAAAGTGTTTGACCTTTTTGACTTCACCAGACTCATTTAAATTCCTGGAACGTTCTAAAGTGTTCTTCAGGGATCCAGTCTCATGTCCCTCTGAGGATCTTGAGTCCATAACGTTCACCGAGCCACAGTTTGTCTGTCATTTTATCCTGATGGACTCCTCAAACGTCCCCACGAGTGTGAAGACCAGAGGACTGTGTAGCACATTTATTCAGAACAGAGATGCTTCTCTCTGTGTGTGTGTGTGTGTCTCAGGTGATGCTGGTGGGAGACTCAGGTGTAGGAAAGACCTGTCTGCTGGTCCGCTTCAAAGATGGAGCCTTTCTGGCCGGGAGCTTCATCTCCACCGTGGGCATCGACTTCAGGGTGAGAGTGTGTGTCAGTGTACTGTGTGTGTGTGTGTGTCTTCACACACACACAGATTCACACTGATGATTTCATTGTCTGTGTTTGAAGCTGATTCTACTCATCAATGAACTATATTTAGTTAATGTCTGGTTTTATGATGCTTTAAATAAAAAATAAAGGACTTTAGGTTCATTCCCTTCATTCTCTCCTTTCCTCTGGAGTTGACTGTCCTCCAGCTTCTTTTGTGGCTGTAAAAAACAAAACAAAACCTCAGAGTAATTTAAACCAGATTTCAGTGTCAGTCTCTCTTCGATATCCAAGCCCACGGGAGACAAGACATTTAAACTGAATTAAGCTAAATTAAAAAAGTTAATTTATCTTGATAGGCTAATTCTTTGTTAACCGCCGACCATCAACAGTTTGTACACACCAATCCCTGGAAGGAATGTTAAACCTCTGAAGTGTCACCTCAAGGTTGTCCCAGCCCTGAATGGGAATGAGCGTCTTAGCTTTGTCCACCTTGGGGATTGATGCCAAATGTGACATTAGGAATTAAAAACATTTCTGATATTAAAGGTTTGGACATCATGCAGTTTACACATATATTTAACAAAATGCCAAAGATAAAGAAAGAAAATGTCAAACTAAAAAAAAAAATGATCAAAGTTAAAATGTCATGTTGAAGCTTAAAAGTCCAAATGTCCCCTCTGGGTAACCATAGCTTGTTATCTGCTAGGACATGTGGATGAAGGACTTTCTTTGAACTTGTGTTAATGGGATTATTTTGATCTTTTCTCCTTTATATAAAAACTATAACTATATAAATCCATAAACAAGAAAGTACAAGCAGCACAGGCATTTCTCAGCCACAGTCTCAAAAATGCACATGTGGCCAACAGTAGGCTCAGTGTTAGCCAACGGAGCAGCTAACAGACTCTGCAATATAGCAAAATTCAAACTTGCATTTCAGTAAAACTGAAACAAAATCTTAGTCAAAGAAGTTAGTAGTAGAGACAACTACTAACTTGGCAGCATGTTTGGGCTATTGGTTTTCTTACCTTTGGGTTAGTTTTGACTAACCTGGTGGTGTTTTAATGCAGCGTTAAT